ATCACATTACAAAAATTTCAAGAAAATAAAACAATTTTTTTTCGGTTCCACTCATTTTTTACGATTTTGGTCCACAATAAGATCCTGAAATATTGTAAAAAAAATAGATTTTCTATTTTCTTTCCATAGAAATAACTACGGCATTTTCGGGTTTTTTTGAACATAAAATAAAAAAATTGGAGAAGAAAAAAAATTAACTTAAAAAATTATGTTTTTTTAACATAAATGAATTAAATATAACGTAACAACACAAATAAATCATTTCTGGAATAAAATTTATTAAATATTTTCATTTATTTTTTAAATTACTCTTCTATTCGCCATATTACAAAAATTTCAAGAAAATAAAACAATTTTTTTTCGGTTCCACTCATTTTATACGATTGTGGTCCACAATAAGATTCTGAAATATTGTGAAAAAAATTTCTATTTTCTTATTTCTATGGCAAAATCAAAACTTGAATACTATTAAACATAGGATTTGAAATTTCCCAAACCTAACCTTAAATTTTGGGTGTTTGTTAATCATTTTTGCAACGACGAAAACACCAAAAGAAAGATCTAACCTTTCTCTTTCATACGCCCGAAAACAATTTCAAAATGATTAAAAGTAGCAGAGTTATAGATTTCTGAAACGGAAGATGCAAATCCAAAAAAATTCAAAAAAGTTTAAATATTTCAAAAACGGTTAAACTTAGGTATAGGGAAGCCTAATAAAAACTGTCTCAAAATCACTTGACCAATCCAAAAACGTAATAAAAAACATAGCGTACTGTTTAAAATAACGAAGTTGGACTCACTTCCGGTGCAACCGGAAGTGGCGCCATCCTGGAATTATTTTCATTGAACAGGACCCAACCAATCATGGCCCTAAACAAAATTTAAAAAAAATATCACTGTCAGAACTCTTAATACTTTTAGTATGGAGTTTAACGGAACACCCTGTATAGTGTTATCCCAAATTAATTCAGATAGTTTTTGAAAAAAAAAATTCGATATTTCCAAAAAAATCAATAATTCAAGCAATTTCAAAAATTCAAAAAAAATCCAAAAATTTGTTATAGTTAATGGCCCCCCGGGACACAGACACCGGCTACGAAAATGACAATAAGGCACACTTATGTAATACTTGATTTGTAAATATTCGTATCACAGCTACTTGAAAAAATAGCAAATTCGTTAAAGTTATTGTAGCATAATTTCAGGTACAATAAGTGATTCGATTCTGATTTTTGGTCTTGAAAAAGTCGAATTTTGCTATTTTTCCTAACAATTAGTCCTCAAAATATCGGTGATTGACTCGGGGACTTTGATCTCCTCCTCAACTTCCTCAATAATCTGTTCGGTTATGATACTAGTCTTGGAGGGCCTCCGCCCCGGCCCCTCCTCCCCCCTATTCAGCAAATAGTCCAAATCGTGACTAATCCTATCCAACATCCCGTCCAGATTATCCCTCCTCCCCTCCTCCTCCAATTTCTCGCAAACTGTGGCAATCTCCCCCCGAAGTTTGGGGGGCTCTTCGGGGGTGATGACGATGCTGGGGGCGTGCGAGGCGACTAGATCGAGTTCGGTGCATATTTTGGAGGCGATGATGTCGGGGGAGCGACATCTGACCGCCTCCTCGTCGGGGGGCTTGGAGGGGGCTTTGCGGTAGAGTTGGGGACTCCGGTTGTAGCGCTCGAGGGAGGTTTGGGCGCAGTAGATGGCGTCGGTGTGCATCGCACCGGAAACGCACTCCGGAAGACCGGAGTCGGACATGGGGAAGCATTCGATGGGCTTGGAGGGCTCGGATTTGGGGCGGTGGGGGATGCTCTCGCTCTCCACCTCGGCGTCCTCCTTGGTGAAAACTGGGGGCAAGTTTCAGGGGGTTAAATGCGCCTGAAATATGAAGTTTGCCGGTTTTTTCAGCGCCCGGAGCGACGATTTCGTTTTTTTTTGAAAAATTAATATTGACTTTAATTTAAGGCAAATTTCGACAGTTTTTTTAGGTTTTTCTAATTTTTGCAAAAACGGGTTTAAATTTAAAAAAAATAAGCGATTATCACAAAAAAATAATCAGGATAAGATTTTTTTTTAATTAATGCAGTTTTCTTCTGTTAAAATGCTCTACGACGAGTAGTTTTTGTGATATTAAAATAAATTTAATTTTTTTCAGTGCCCGGAAATCACCCGGAAAGTTTTAGAATCAACGATTTTCATGTAAAATTGTCCGGAAAATTTGTCTATACAAACCGTTTTCGTTTAAGTTATAACTTTTTTTATTATAAAAAGTCAAAAAACTCAAATTTTTTCCCTAGCCGAGAAACTGTAACTCCGATCGACTCCGGGTTTTTGGCATTCGATAGATAATTTAAAGTAGATTCCGATAGCTTTTTTAATTTTTTTGTAGGACCTCAATTAAATTTCGAAAAATCGAATTTTTGACTTTTTATGCGATTATCACAAGAGAATTACCAAGATTAGTGGTATAAAACCGTATATCCAAGTAAACCGTGTGAAAATTTCTACAAAATGATGTAGGTTTTAAGTCAATATGTCAAAAATGGTTTTTAAATTTTCAAAAGTAAATTTTTTTAATTTTGAAAAATGTTCAAATAAGATCGATTTTTTCAATCCCCGGAAATCACCCGGAGTGCTTCAGAATCTAGGTTTTTCACTAAAATTGTCCGGGGAAACGTCTGTGCAAACTATTTTCGCCTAAGAATCTTAGTTTTCAAGTTATGATTTTTTTTTTTTGAAAAGTTAAAAAACTAAAATTCTCTTCTTAGCCGAGAAACTATAACTTGGACCGATTCCGGGTTTTTAGCATTTGATAGACAATTTAAAGTAGATTCCGACTGTTTTTTAAATTTTTTTTGTAGGACTTAAATTAAATTTTGAAAAATCTAATTTTTGACTTTTTTAAACGATTATCACAAGAAAATTACCAAGATTAGTGGTATAAAACCGTATATCCACGTAAACAGTGTAAATATTTCTACAAAATGATGTAGGTTTTAAGTCAATATATCAAAAATGGTTTTTCAATTTACAAAAAGTAAATTTTTTAAATTTTGAAAAATGTTCAAATAAGATCGATTTTTTTCAATCCCCGGAAATCACGTCGAGTGCTTCAGAATCTAGGTTTTTCAGTAAAATCGTCCGGGGAATACGTCTGTGTAAACTATTTTCGCCTAAGAATCTTAGTTTTCAAGTTATGATTTTTTTTATTTTGAAAAGTTAAAAAACTAAAATTCTTTTTTTAGCCGAGAAACTATAACTTGGACCGACTCCGAGTTTTTAGCATTTGATAGACAATTTAAAGTAGATTCCGACTGTTTTTTTATTTTTTTTTTGTAGGACTTCAATTAAATTTTGAAAAATCTAATTTTTGACTTTTTTAAACGATTATCACAAGAAAACTATCAAGATTAGCGGTATAAAACCGTATTTCAACATAATCAGTGTGAAAATTTCTACAAAATAATGTAGGTATCAAGTAGATATCTCGAAAATGGTTTTTCAACTTTCAAAAAGTATTTTTTTTTAATTTTTGAAAACGTTCAAATAACATCAACTTTTTTGAGTGTCCAGAATTAACCCGGAGCGCTTCAGAATCTAGGTTTTTAAGTAAAATTGTCTGGGGAATACGTTTGTGCAAACTATTTTTGCCTAAGAATCTTAGTTTTCAAGTTATGATTTTTTTTTATTTTAAAAAGTCAAAAAACTAAAATTCTCTTCCTAGCCGAGAAACTACAACTCCAATTGACTTCGGGTTTTTGGCATTTGATAGATAATTTAATGTAGATTCCTACTGTTTTTTATTTTTTTTTTGTAGGACTTAAATTAAATTTCAAAAAATCGAATTTTTGACTTTTTTAAGCGATTATCACAAGAAAACTATCAAAATTAGCAGTGTAAAACCGTATTTTAACGTAATCAGTGTAAAAATTACTTCAAAATAATGTAGGTTTTAAGTAGATGTGTCGAAAATGCTCCTGAAATACGGAGTTTGCCGGTTTTTTCAGCGCCCGGAAATCACCCGGAGTTTTTAAGTTTTATTTTTTTTTTAATTTTTTTTTTTGGAAATATCTCCGATCAACTCCGGATTTTTGCTATTCAATAGATATTTTAAGGCAGATTTTAATATTTTTCAATGAGACTTACTTTTTTCAAAAAACACGTTTAAATTAAAAAAAAAATAAAGTCAAAAAACTCAAATTCTCTTTCTAGCCGAGAAACTATAACTCCGATCGACTCCGGGTTTTTAGCATTCGATAGATAATTTAAAGTAGATTCCGATAGTTTTTTTAAATTTTTTGTACTATTTGAAATAAATTTCAAAAAATCGAATTTTTGACTTTTTTATCAATTGTCACAAAAAATGATCAAAATTAGTGGTATAAAACCGTATATTAACGTAATCAGTGTGAAGATTTCTACAAAATGATGTAGGTTTTAAGTCAATATCTCAAAAATTAAATTTTGAAAAATCGAATTTTTTATTATTTTAAGCCTTTATCACAAGAAAAGTATCAAGATTAGTGGTATAAAATTGTATATCAAGGTAATCAGTGTGAAAATTTTTACAAAATAATGTGGGTTTCAAGTCGATATCTCGAAAATGGTTTTTCAACTTTCAAAAAGTAATTTTTTTTAATTTTTGAAAACGTTCAATTAACATCGATTTTTTTGAGTGCCCGGAATTCACCCGGAGCGCTTCAGAGTCTAGGTTTTTAAGTAAAATTGTCCGGGGAATACGTCTATGCAAACTATTTTTACCTAAGAATCTTAGTTTTCAAGTTATGATTTTTTCTTATTTTAAAAAGTCAAAAAACTGAAATTGTTTCTCTATCCGAAACTATAACTCCGATCGACTCCGGGTTTTTGCTATTAGATAATTTAAAGCAGATTTTGACAGTTTATTAAATTTTTTTGTAGGACTTATAATCTTTGTGAAAAACGTGTTTTTTTGTTTCTTTTTATTCAGTGTTTTGCATATTTCAGCGATTTTCTGGGTAACTACGCGTCACAGAACGATGACAATTTTTTAATAAGATGGGAAATTAAATGTGCTTTCCAACGGTAGCAAACATAAGGGAATTATAGACGAATATCCCCGCTCGGGGTACTGAAAATCAGTCAAAATTTTGAAAAAATTAAAAAAATTAAAAGCAGTTCAAATGACGTGTTTCACATTCTTAGAAGTGCGAGAGACTGAAAAAAGATGATAAAACGATTTTGGGCTGTGTTTAAAAAATATGCATTTTTTGTGATATTATATATATATTTGCCTTAAAAATCAGTGAAAAAAACTCTAAATGCAGTTTCCTAGACCAGTAAAATTGCGTGAAAAACACGATTATGTCAATTATAATATTCTAGGTCTGGTAATTTCCGTGTTATCGGGCAATATTTCGTTTCCGGGTAAATTCCGGAGGCAAATCGGACACCCGGAATTGAACATTTTATCAGCGTTTGCTACTTTTGGGAAGAAATGCTTTCCCACGGTACCAAAGATAAGTGCCTAGGCCTAATTGTTCCGGAGTTATGGACGAATTTCCGCTCCGGGTACTGAAAATCGGTCAAAATTTGAAGAAAATCGTAAACATTAAAAACGGTCCAAATGTCGTTTTTCACACTCCTACAGGTCCTAGGCTTCGAAAAAAGTATATAACTCGATTTTTCGATCAATTTTTTTTTCAAAAATGCCAAATGACCGAAATGCAGTTTTCTAGTTCTACTCAAAAATGAAAACAGCCCTGAAAACAAAATTTTCAACAAATTTAACTGTTGCAACTTGTGGTTTGGTCACAAATGGCCGTTTAAAACGTCATAAACTTCTGAAAAATCTAAGTTTTTGGTTTTATTGTCTTTTTTCAGATTGAAAAATAATAACAAAAAAGCAAAATTTCTAACAATTTGAACACAAATGATCATTTTAGTTGCAAAACTAATTTAAAATGTATAGGCGTTAAAGTTATCTGAAAAAATCACACGTTTTACTCTGAAATCGAAAGATAGCGTCCTGAAAAGCAAAATTTTCAGCAATTTTTACTGTCGCACATTGCAATTTAGTCACAAATGGCTGTTTAAAACTTTAAAAGCATTTGAAAAATTTAGGCTTTTGTTTCTTAATTGATTTTTTTTTCAAATTGAAAGATAGTGACATAAGAAGCAAAATTCTCAACAATTTGGATTAGTTGTAAAACATCATAAGTTTTATTTTAAAATCGAAATCGAAAAATTTGGATTATTTATAAAAAAAATCACAAGTTTTACTCTGAAATCAAAAGATATCACCCTGAAAAATAAAATTTTTCAAAATTTAAACTATTGCAACTTGTAATTAGGTCACAAATGACCGTTTAAGACCTCAAAAATATGATTTTTTTGTTTAAAGATAATTATTGATTTTTCTTTCAAATTGAAAAATAGTGACATTAAAAGAGCAAAATTTCTAACAATTTGAACTATTGCAAGCTATAATTTGGTCATAAACGATTATTTTAGATGTATAAGAGTTAGAATTATTTAAAAAAAATCAAGCTTTTCTCTGAAATCAAGAGATAGCGCCTTGAAAAATCAAATTTTCAGTAATTTTTACTGTTGCAAATTGCAATTTAGTCGCACAAGGCCATTTAGAACGTCAAAAACTTTTGAAAAAAATTCACTTTATGCTTTTTTTCAAATTGAAAGTCTGAAAAAATGGATTGTGTTCGAATTTTTGTCCTAAAAACGTCAAATAAAATTGAAAAAGGCCAAAATGCAGTTTTCTAGACGTAAAATCTTGCGAGAAACCCGATTATGTCAATTAAAATATCCCAAATCGGGTAGTTTCCGTGTTATCGATCACTATGTGTTTCCGGGTCGAGTCCGGGCCCCCGGAATCGCGATTTATCGGGGCACAAAGCAAACACGCCCAGCATTCGTTTGAAATGAATTTAAGATGAGTGAAAATTGTTTGAAACCGAATGATATGGGGGCATAAAAAAATCATTTCAATTAGTATCTCGTAAACAACGTGTTGTACTCACAATTTAATGGACTACCTGTAGATTCCACCCCGAAAAAGCCCTCCTTTTGTTTCGCTTTGAATCGTCCTTGCAACAAATAAAAAAAATCGCTATCCGATTTCACGATGTAGCAGACGACCACAACCAAACCCTGAAACCTGAAACTGTAATTTTTACACAAACTCGCCATTTCTCTACCAGCAACATGGCCACAACACCGAACTCGTAATGCCACCAGATTACGTCGACGAAGTTCACGTAAAAAATACTGCTGACGGCCACTGAAACCAGCGAGCTGAACACAAACGCCGATTTTTTCAGGAGCGCAATCCTGAAACGCAACCATGAAAATAGTCCGGTCAAAATAGACATTTCAAATAACTAAAATTTCGACAGAGCTAAATTCTGGTACACCATTAGGAATAAAGTGTCAAAAGTCCCCATTGACTAAAAAAGTTGTTCGGGGTCAAAGGTCAAAATTTGACGTTTTTTAGATTTTTTTCGAAAACGGTAAGTTTTATCAAAAAAGTAGCCCAGACAAAAATTATAGATCTTAAAATTATCTACAAAATTGGTTCTTATACTTTTTTTTCTAAGAATCACCATTTCTGAGATATCGCGATTCTAAAAGTTGAAGGAGTCGCATTCTACATAATATGCACATACAGAGTGCGCCAGAACTCGCGCCCCGAAGAAAAATGCTATGTAGGGTAAGGAACATGGAAAAAATTTAAAAAAAAATTCTATCTATAAAAATTTCGAAGCTATGAGAGTTTAAATTTTGCACTTTGACTCTATTTATTTCTGTAGGATAAATAATTTTCCACGTTTTTTTGGTACAGGCTATTAAAAGCGGAAACAAGGAAGTTGTATCCTAAACTCTAACTCTGTTTAATGTTATTTGTGGCTTTTATTGGCAAAAGTTTTGTACCTTTACTAAATAATTGTAAAAAAAACATATACAAAATCATCAGTATTAATAAATAGACATAAAAAAATGTCAAATGTCAAAAAACAAGTGTCAAAATTTTTCGATAGAATTTTTTAAACACTTTTTTATGTTCCTGGTATCTTATCTTACTTGAAATTTTTCTTCTACTTCATTAAACTTATAAATATCTCGATTAGAATTAAAAAGAATTTATTTGGTAATACATATAGGGTGTTTAAAAAATCGCGCACTTCCTTGAAAGGGAGTAACTGGATAGTCCCCAGAGTACTGAAAAAATTATTAAAAAATTCTATCTGTCAAAAAGTTTTGAGATTTGACATTTTTTATGTGTGTTTAATAATACTGATGACCTTGTACAGGGTGCTGCATTTTGGATGTCCGAATAGGGAATCTCCGAAACTAAGAGATTTAGCCAAAAACGAGTGATACATTCTGGGGCTCATTTTTTGAGAAAATAATATTGGTTAAAACCGCATCCTGCTATCGTCTTTTGTTTTCGAGTTATAGACAAAAATTGACATTTTAGCGAAATCTAAAAAAATTCATATCTTCGTTATTATTGAAGACACAGATTTGAAACAAAGACATTATAGAGGCACTTTTTTACGTAGAATTTAATAATGTAGTTAACAATTTTTTTCAGTTTTGTTTAGCATTAATAAAATAAACTTGTATTTTTTTAAATGGGAATCATAGATGGCTATGTCATTTTTAAAAAGCTTGTTTTGTTCTTTTCTAAAAAATATATATTTGTAACAAATTATTATAATACATTTTTAGCAAAAAATTATCTTTGATTTTCGTTCGCAGTTGGCCATGAAAAAATGTTGCATCTTCAACTAAAAGGATTTAAACTATATTATATTCAACCAGTGTCACTAATGAAAGAGTTTTCTAAGTACTAAATAATGAAAAAAATGCAAAATAAATTGTAAATCAACTTATTGGCGACTAAGAACATTTCTTTGTTTTTAAACAAGCTAACATTACCATTGCAACTTCTAGTGATACATAGAGTGTTGTAAAAAAAGCCACTTTAATTCTTCAATAAAATATATTTTATATGACACAAAAATGACGATTCAAATACCCAAATTCCGTCTATGTGAAACGTTATCCTACCTCCATTAGATCATCAAAAAAATGTTTTTTGTAATTGTGTTGACTATTCACACATTTGTTTTTCCTATTTTTTGATTTTTTAAAAATATGTAATAATTTTGTTCTAAGGCGCTCGCATATTTCTTCAATACTTCTACCGTATCGTATTTTTTTAATATTTATAACTTTATCTATTTTTTCATCTATTTTACAGTTTTATTGATTATTATTTACACATTTGGAGTGAAATAGTTTTTCCATGGCCAACTATTATCACACAAAATATGTATTTCACTTTTTAAGTATAGTTATAAAAAAATATTTTGTTACAAATATATATTTTTTAGATCAGAAAAAAATAAGATTTTCAAAATTGCCGTAGCCGCCTATGGTTTCCATTAAAAAAAATAAAAGTTTATCTTATTACGGCTAAACTAATAACTGAAAAAAATTGTTAACTACATTATTAAATTCCTCGTAAAAAAGTGCCTGTATAATGTCTTTATTTCAAGTCCGTATCTTCTATAATAACGAAGATATAAATTTTTTTAGATTTCGCCAAAATGTCAACTTTTGTCTGTAAGTCGAAAACAAAAGACGATAGCGGGATGCGGTTTAAACCAATATTATTTTCTCAAAAAATGAGCCCCAGAATGTATTACTCGTTTTTGGCTAAACCTCTTAGTTTCGGAGATTCCCAATTCGGACATCCAAAATGCAGCACCCTGTACAAGGTCATCAGTATTATTAAACACACATAAAAAATGTCAAATCTCAAAACTTTTTGACAGATAGAATTTTTTAAACATTTTTTCAGTACTCTGGGAACTATCCAATTACTCTCTTTCAAGGAAGTGCGCGATTTTTTAAACACCCTGTATGTATTACCAAATAAATTCTTTTTAATTCTAATGGAATCGAGATATTTATAAGTTTAATGAAGTAGAAGAAAAATTTCAAGTAAGATAAGATACCAGGAACATAAAAAAAGTGTTTAAAAAATTCTATCTGTCAAAAAATTTTGACACTTGTTTTTTGACATTTGACATATTTTTTTTGTCTATTTAATAATACTGATAATTTTGTATTTGTTTTTTTTTACAGTTATTTAGTAAAGGTACAAAACTTTTGCCAATAAAAGCCACAAATAACATTAAACAGAGTTACATTCTTGGATACAACTTCCTTGTTTCCGCTTCTAATAGCCTGTAGCAAAAAAACGTGGAAAATTATTTATCCTACAGAAATAAATAGAGTCAAAGTGCAAAATTTAAACTCTCATAACTTTGAAATTTTTATAGATAAAATTTTTTTTAAATTTTTTCCATGTTCCTGGTACCTTACCCTATTTTTCTTTGGGGCGCGAGTTCTGGCGCACTCTGTATGTGCATATTATGTAGAATGAAACTCCTTCAACTTTTAGAATCGCGATATCTCAGGAATGGTGATTCTTAGAAAAAAAGTACAAGGACTATTTTTGTAGATAACTTTAAGATCTATAATTTTTGTCTGGGCTACTTTTTTGAGAAAACTTACCGTTTTAGAAAAAAATCTAAAAAACGTCAAATTTTGACCTTTGACCCCAAATAACTTTTTTAGCACACATGGGATCGATGGGAACTTTTGACACTTTATTTCTAATAGTCTCCACCAAAATTTAGCTCTGTCGGAATTTTCGTTATTTGATCACTATTTTTATGACTAATTTGACTGAAAATTGAAAATTTCGGCAACTTACCGCTTTTGCAGGATTTTGCCCTCTTTTTCGTGCACTGTTGTCAGTTTTTTCAGCTTGTGCAAGACAGTGGCGTACAAGAGGAGGAAAAGGGCCACGATGACGGCCCCCACGGTGAGGAAAATGCTGAAGGCTAGAGTCCCCCCCAACAGCCACCATGATTCGAGACGCACGTCCATGGTTTGATGGGCGAGATGGTTGCCGAAGACGGCGATCATGGGCACTCCGGTGCTTATCCCCACGACGGTTTGCTTGGAAGTGGCGGATTTGGGGAGGTGGACCATCTCGGTATAGACCATGAGGAGGAGGCTGATGTGGGAGGAGAGGCCCATGAGGAGGAGGAGCTCCAGGATGGACATGACGCTCGCAAACAACCGCTAAAGAATTAATTACATTTTTTTTATATAGGGTGAGTCGATAATGAAGTTGTTATATAGGGTGTCCTTAAAAAAACGTCAAAAGAGTTTGGGAGGTGGTTTCTAAAGACCTATTTAGGACAAAAAATGACTTTAGGAGACGTTATTTTAACAGTTTTTTTGATTAATTTTCTTTAAAAATGTTTCTTGTGTTAAGTTTTTACAAATTATTTCCCAAAATCTTT